AACCCATGGGGATGGGGTCTAGGGAAACGGATTCCCAGATACACCTAGCCCAGGCCTACACAGCGTGTGGGGAAGGGAAAGCCCCTGTGGTAACGTTTTTTTCCCTCTCCACAGTCCTCCCCCACTGGGGGCAGCCTGGAAGCAGGGGAAATTCCCCACTCCCCCTCCCCTGCAGAGCTGCTTGCCTCAGGTGCTGCCACAGGAGGGAGGGGGAAGAAGTCCCTAGGGCTAAGGACACCAGGGAGCCTCTGCCTTGGGTGGCTTCCCCCAGGGTCCCCCAGCCCGAGGCAGCCTCAGGGAGCAGAGGGGAATTCTCCCACTCCCCCACAGCTGCTTGCCTCAGACTCGCAGCGGCTGAGGCAAGCAGCCGCGGGAAAGTAGGAGGGGGAGAATTCCCCTTGGCTCCCCAGGGCTGCCTAGGCTGGGAAACCCAGGCTGGGGGAAACCCCTTGAGAGGGAGGCTCCTCCAAGATGAGCTAGCACCTGGACAGGGGGTTCCTCAACCTCCTGTTGCGGGACAGCAGGGGTTGGGGGCATAAGCTGGGGAGTCAATCAAGGATGGCCCAACTTGGCCAGCAGGTTGGGAGATGTACTCTAGCACCCCACCCCCTCCCACACACACACATACACACTTGCAAGAGCTAGCAGGCTAGGAGATGCATTCTAGCACCCCCAGCCAACTGGCCTAGATTACTGCAGGCCTCCCCCTTCCTTTCTGAATTGAAAACTAAATGTCAGTTTAGTTGATTATCTGTGTAGTTTATGCAACTTGGAGGAAGCTGCCTAGATTGAATTAATTCTTCCTCTGGCTTTTTGACTATCTGTACTTAGCCATAATGCCAGATCACATTTCTTCCACCTCCCTGGAGAACATCTGTCCAAACTTCCTTTGACACTTCCTTTAAGAAAGCAGACAAGACTCCAGAAAAACTTGCAGCCAAGACTCCTGAGAAGACTCCAGCCAAGAACTCATCAAAAAATCCAATCAAGAGCCCTTCAAAAAGTCCAGCAAAGTCATCTCAAAGAAGTCCTTCCAAATCAATATAATTGCTATTTACAATATAAATACATTAATGTAACTATATTACTCATCTATAATTGAATGAGTACAAAATTCTGGGTTATTTTTGGTAAAAACAGGGTATCAGGCCTTGGTTCAGGAATCAATCCCCTATTTATAACATTGTTTCCTATGGGAAAATCAGTTCCAAGTTACAACGTTTCGACATAAGACTTAGTTTTCAGGAACCAATTGTTTTGGAAGTTCGAGGACTACCCGTAGTAAAAGAATATTTTGTTTAGCTGGTTTAACACTCATAAAAAGCAAGCTTACTTTGATTTAAAAAAAGCAATGACAAACTACTCAAAATGGTCACTAAAGTTTTTACCCTCACTGAAAGGTGGCTCTCCGTTTCTAAAAATACAGGTGAAGGACTTTGAGTATCATAACTACAAAGTGCATGGTGGTGTTTTGCCACCTTGTCTTAGGTGTGACCCAGATTTCATGTACACCTAAAACTTTTCCTTGCCATTCATATTTAATGTGCATATCTGTCACCACGAAATATACTTATGGTTGCCTCACCCATTCTAGAATTCAAGAAGCAAGCAGTTAACAACTATTTTATGCTCCAAAGAAGTATAAAAATGAAGTCATGTTCAGAATAAGAGAGTGAGGAGTCCTAGAAGTGTATAATAAAACTGGTTTATTTCATGTTGAATGATGGCAAACCATGTTCAACGAAAATGAGATCAAGCCTATGTAAGAATAAGCTATTACCAGGTTTTGGACACTCCTTTTCCAAATGACTGCTTTGGTCTTTGCTTTTATTTCAAAATTTTATGCTGAGAAATATGAACTTAGAAAATGAGGCATGAGGATTTTTGAGGTAACAGCCTGAAAGGTAATTTTTTTTTGTCTCATTCCTTCCTTTAAAGAATTAACTCCATATAGCAGCAATCTGAATGGTATTTTAAAAATTTCTACTTAACAGGAATTCCCATGTGATCCCAACATGTTCACTGGTGCTTTAATGTGTTCCGTGAATCCTTTCAAGTGCTATACGAATGGCCAGTCCAATATGTAAAAAGTTAGACTTTCGTTACCCATATCTTTTCCTCAATACCACAGCATATTTTACCCCTGAAGAGCTACATATCTGAGACTGAGAAGGTGTCTGTCTCCTTTTGGTCAGGTCACACAATACATACAAGTAAAGTAAGATAGTATTGTACAGGGTATGTGTGAAAGTGAGGCAAATGCTCCCAGAGCTTGAGGGAACCAATCCTGCCCCTCAAGCCCATGAAACCCTTGCCCCAGGAGCCTGGAGAACCCAGCCAGCCCCATGCTGCCTGAGCTCTTCTGCCATGAACAAACAAGTGTGGGTCACAGTAAAGTAATCGAATTGAATACTACCTTCTGTCATTTGAGCATTTGTGGCATGACAAAAGGTATGGCTATCTGTTTGCTTTCACTTTGTGCCACCATAGAAAATGTGTATGGTGGCACAAAAGTGATGTCTGTTTCCACCCCTAGAGCAGAAAGATTCCAAGAGAAGTGAATTAGCAACAGTGAAAGTGACAGGCAGGTCCAATAAACAGGCACTTTTTCAGTACATATTACAGGAAGGTTTCATGGTGACTTAAAGGAGAGCACAGCCTCTAGGAGACAGAAGAGAGAAAGACAAAGTAACTGCTCAAAACTTTGGAAGCAAAGGGAAGATGAGATAGGGAAACAAGTAAGGCCAAATGAAGGATTCTGTTTTGAAGAAATGTGGAAACCATAGCATTTAGGGACTGCAGGATCCAGAAGCTTTTAACTTAGATTGATCATCTTGGCTTTGTAAAGGTATGTTATGGCTAAGATGGAAATACCTCTGTTGTCAGAGAATGTTGCCATCTCTTTAAGAATGTTCCTAAATCTTTTCCCAGGTCACCTGCATTGGAGAGACTAGAGACAAAATCCATACAGTACAACTAAGAAATGCTCTCTTGGATCGCTACCCGGAGATGAAGTGGACAGAACGGTGATCAGCAAAGCACTGTGGAAAGTGCTACGGTCTTTTAACAAGCACTTTATAGAGAATTGAAACTTGAGGCAATAACAAATATTACCTTTCAGAACTAAACAGTTAGCAAATAGCTGCAGGATTGATTGATTGATTGATCTATTTCGGTGCTCAGAATACAATGGCTCAAATCATTAGATTAGCTATGGGAAAGCTTCATAGTTCCTGCTTGAGTTGGAATTCAAGAATAAGTTATGAAATGGCTGTTTGGTTTTTCACTGGCATGTAGACCCCTGTGGTAAGTAGAAAGAAAGAGGGCATTTTTCTTGAGATCTTATTATAGTTTTCTCATCCTCCTTCTTTTAATACCCTCAGTTTTCATGTGTGTTGTGTCCTCCTTTGCTGGCATGCTCGCTTTACATTTTCCAAGCCAGAAACAGCACCTCATCTGCTGAGTCTGCCTTTATAATTACATATCTACATTTATGTCAGCACAACATCTTCACTTTCAGGCAAGGAAAAATATGGTTAATGAAGCACACTAGATAAAAAAATACATCTTGGAAAGGAAAAGCCAATGTTGAATTTTTTCCTATGGGAAGATTATAATGTTTATAGAAATATGGCTTCCAGAAATGTTGCAATTATAAAAAACTTATTTTAATGTTATTAATCCTCATGTTTATCAAACAAATGTAAATGTTTTTCTTCCCCACCCTTTGGAAACTCACCAGTACAAGCCACATATAAAATAGATATTTCACTTTTAGAGAGGGTCTTCACCTTCACTGAATTTTGTAATCAGAAGTCAGGTTAATCTTAGCTTGCCCAAAACAAAGCAATGTTAGAAATAATATATATGTTCAAATATGGCTAGTTAATAAGCAAATAGAGCTATAGAAGAAGAGGAAGCATGAATCTTAAGAAACTGCTAATGCAATTCAGAAGGAGCATATTGACTTGAATGTCCCTGAGAACCAATAATTGCACTGTAAGCAGAGACCTATTAATAAGTTAACACTATAGGGTAGGGAAAGACCTTGGCAAAAGCTTGGGCCCATTGCTGAGTCTTAAGTAGCCCAGTTGCCTGTGTAGTTGGATGAGATTCAATTTTAGGTCAGGTATAATGGATTCAATAAAATCACTCTAATGGCCAGATTTCAACAGGACTGACCCAAGATTTGAATGGGGGTACTTCAATTAATTCTGCCTCTGGATCCTCAAACTGATGAGTAAGTACGTAAAACAGAGATGTGTCTTCAAGTGTGCTATACCTACTGAAATGAATGGGATTCTTCAGTAGGACTTCAAGTAATTAGAGCTCCCTAGTGCAGGATTTGGGTTCCCTTATTAGGCATCCATGTAACTGGACTTCAGATTCATGTTTCCTATGACTGTGGAAGAAGATTGGATTAAAAGCCTGTAATGACCTTAAATAATTCCAAATTACTATTAAAATATACAA